ACGATAGCAATGCAATCAATCAATTTCTGTAAGTTGATCACGAAGAAGGTAATATATGCAAGTAAGTACAAAAACTCCCATTTTTGTATCTGAGGAAAGTACATATGTACAAACAGCAGTCCAAATGTCTTCTCCAAGAGCAAGTCTTTTGGAAGTTGCTTAGCTAATGCTGCATCCTTTACAATTCAAGCTATGTTTGCCAGTTCTCAGAGTATGAAATAGCCTATTTGTCCCTGTACAAATGATCCTCACCCACCTTTTGTATTTTTTCAACATTCCAACTTACTTTTACTCTTTTCAACATTTCCCTTATAATGAACCCTTGTTGATATTCATCTCAGCATAACTATGTAGGAATATATGATTGACTTGAGGCTTAGAAAAGATGAAGACTTTCACTTTTGCCAAACGACAATAAGTATCTTGAAAACAACTCTTAACAACTCTTAACAATTAAAAAACAAAATAAAACCAAGAAATGCAGAAATATAATCAGCTTTGGAAAAGCATGACTGGGCTCCTGACAAGATTTCCTGGGAGAAACAAAGACAACAGTTAGAAGCAAAGGAAATGAGATTATAGAAATTATTTGACTAACAAAGGTATCTAATTTTAACAGACGATAAGCAGCGATGACTAAGATCTTGAGCCTGTTACACTTGGTTAGGACTATGGCTCTCACAAAAGGCTCAGGAAGGATGTTTCCCCTTTTAAAAGGTAGAGTATACAAGTCAAAGAAGGTAGCAATCAAAATTGGCTTCGGGTCTATGGGGCAGAGACAGACACTCCTGAAAAGTCCTAATGATAACTTGGCTTCATGAAGAGAACACTTTGACTTAACATTACCATAAGATCTACAGAGCCACAAGCCAAGAATCAATGTAATGCTGTTCTAAGTTGGTAATATGCTTGGAATCATTGGCAGAAAGAATACAAATCACTGCATCAGAAACACACCCTTAGCCCACATCCGAAGGATTCTTCCTGATAAAGTCCTGCCAAGCACAAGCAGGACTAATTCTCTGACATCTGTTACAGTTCAAATTATAAAGCAAAAGGGAACAGAAAGGAAAAGTTGGAGAACTACCAAGAAGCACAATGCACTGCAATGTATAAATTGTTTAAATATTAAAGAACAAAATGTAAAATCAAAAACAGAAAGAACACTAACCACATTTTAAAAAGAACTGAAAGGGACTCCACAGAACAGAAGAATATTAAACATACTCCTAAACAGAAGAGTAGACAGAGTGAATGAAACAGAAAACAAACTCCCTAGGATTCAGCATATAGAAAACATGGGAATGAATATGAAAGAGAATTTAAGCATGAAGACAGGATAAGAAGATTGTCAGTATAAGGAAGAGGAAAACTACGCAGATAAGAAAAGCAGTACAGAATAATCAGATAATGGTTCAGAATTTTCTACAATAATGATATGAATCCAATTTCATAAAGGACAACAAATTCAAGTAAGGGAAAAAAGCTTATATCTAGGCATGTCAGAGAAACTGAACAATTATGAGGAAGAAGATGTAAGTACAAAGTACTTTTAAAAGGTGGATTACTTTCAAAGGAATATAATTTTAAAGATTTATTTTTAGTTTTTAATTATGCACATGTGGATTTGTGGATGAGTGTAGGTGCCTGCAAAGTCCAGAAGAGGTCATTCGATCCCCTAGAGCTAGAGTTGCAGGCAGTTGTGAGCCACAAACCACAGGTGTGAACTTGGGTCCTCTGCAAGTGCAATATGTGCTCTTAACCACTAAGCCATCTCTCCAGGCCCATGGGAATAAAATTTTCAAAGTCTAATCTTATTTAGCAAACTTCTCAAAGGCAGGAAAGAAAGCAAAGAATTTTCAAAGTAATAGAAAAAAATACTTTTAAAATTTCATACCCAAATTACTGTTAACGTAAGGGAGACATAATCCTATTAAGAATCTAGCCACTGGCCTTATGGAAGCCATCTTACCTCCTTGTGGATCTTGAAAATTTAGCAAATACAGAGAGGCTGGGTCCTGGTGATACTTTCCAGCTTCTGTATGAGTCAACCTTATTCCTAATCTCATCATATGTTGGGAGATCTCTGTTATGCAAAGTTGTAAGCCCCTTCACACCGGACAGCTCATGCAGCTCTGGATTAATGTGCTGTGGGCTCCTTTCATAGCGGGGTGTCTTCCTGGCATCTTCCCTGTCTCTCCTTTTGAAGTGTCCGCCACCAATGCTATAGCATAAACATGGCCTTTGGCTCTGAAAAGATACCATGCCTTCCTGTTTTCAGACAGTCTGGCAGCCTGGCAGGTGCTCACCGCCACATGTAAATGGGACATCCTAAAAGTACCTATCGGCTAAAGCTTTTACCACTACCCCCATGGTATAAAATATCCTAGCCTTCTCTTAATATTGGGATTTTGGATCAGAGACTGGGTCCCAGAGATTGGGTCCCAGAGAGAATAAAGCTGTAAGCACAGACTAAGCCGAGCCTTGAGTCTTGTGTACCGGCAACCTGATTCCCCCGGAGGGCAGCACCTTCCGTTACCGACCCACGGATATCCCAGCTTTCGCCGTCTCCGTGCCTCTTCCCTTCCCTGTGGGGTTCAGTGGCCAGGAACCCTGCAATCCTGAGGAAAGGTACACAGGTGTAATAGGGACGGGATTCCAGCTGGACAATGCTTCAGTAGCAGAGCAAGCTCCCAGCACCAGAGAAGTTACGACAGCCACCAGCTGCCGTCACTCCCAGAGACGCGGGACCCAAAGCAGCCGCAGGGAAAGTCTGCAGATCCGCCTTGCCACTCCTGGAGCCACCGCTCCCCAGAGCAGTCTGAGGACCCGCAAGGAGTGAGCGCACCCTACGCCCAGAGAGAGCGCAGTCCGCCCATAGTCATGTATCTCCATTACTTAGTTTTAAAATGAAAGTGGCTCTGGCTAAGCAGTTAGAATTCTCACATCCCAGAGTGACAGGACCCTAGTCACTTTTTCCATTTTGTTGACAAATTAAAACAATGGCAACATTTCTCAGCTCTTGAAGAAATTCAATTACTGTTATCCCAATCACATTCATGTTTTCATGATACAAGTCACAGGTGGCAGGAAGCAGCACCTGAATGTAAAAGGCTTCTACGACAGACAGCATTGTAAGCACTGCACTGGCAGGAAAGGACAGAAAGGTTTAATGGACTCTGGCAGAAAAACTTGCTGTTTAGAGCAGAGCTTTCCAGATTATTATCTGAACGTAGTCTTTGCAGTCTTTGCCAATCTACAACTTGCAGACAACTAGAGCAATGCTAAATAAACTTTGCCTAGAAACATGCAAAGCGGAGGTTCCATTGACTCCTATATAGAAATCCCAAATTTGTCTGCTTTAAATTTCATTTCAGAGCTTGAGAGATGGCTCAGCAATTAAGAGCACTGGTTGCTCTTGCAGAAGACCCAGGTTTGATTCCCAGCACCCATATGGTGGTTAATAACTGTTAGTAAATCCAGTTCTAGGGGATCCAACACTGTCTTCCGACCTCCACAGGCTTTGCATAACACGGGAGTACTTACATACATGCAGGCAATATACTCATACACATAAAATACTTTAAAAATTCATTTCAACATCTCTTTTTATTGCATAGGAGTCTGTGCTTCTCTGGATTCAATTTTGAATCAATTATAACACCTGTCTGATCTCTTCATTAATGCACTGAGGAAACTCTTAATACACATATCCATATGACACTCATGATTTTATCCTTTATGAAAATTATCCTTTCCCATCCACAAAAACAAGATGGTATCTCCAAAAGAAACCATATTTCTTATGTCATCCCCAAAATCAGTTTCTTAAATCTAATCAGAAAGGTTCAGATTTCATTAAAATACAAGAAAATAACAATCTAATGGGAATTGCCACAGATGTTCAACAAAAAGTAGCTGCCATACATTCTAATGTTTTATCGATCATATGTAAAACAATGGTATCCTTAGCATATTAGTTAGAGCAAGATAAAAGGCCTCTTTTGTGTTGTTTCAAATACTACCAAAGGAATGTCCAAATTCCATACATTAATCTAGTGCTCTTTGGTTTTGTTTGTTTGTTTTGTCTTTTGAGACAGGGTCTCCCTGTAGCCTCAGCTGGCCTGGAACTTGCTACATAGACCAGGTTCAACCTCAGTCTCACAGAGATCTGCCTGCCTCTGCTTCCTGTGTGCTGGGAATAAGGGTGTGCACTATCACACACAGTGCTCTGTATTTTTGCAAGGAGGGAAATGGGCTCAGAGGAGCTGAACACTGACCACACTCTACACTAGTAATTACAAAAGCTTGACACTGAGGCCTCTGTCCAAAGGCACAGCCTAATTCCATTGTACCATGCCATCTCTAGACAACAACTGTTTGACTAAGTCTCAAATTTAGACTGCAAACCTGTTTGGTATCCACTACCATACTTACAGAAGTTTACCTGGTAATAACAGAAAAAAAGTAAACGTTCTACAGGTAACTATAGGCATTGTGCCAGCCTGTGTTTGTTTTGATGACACGGAAAAAGAAACAGTCTTGCCATCTTCAAATGACTCACTTAAAGAGTGCAAAAATCATGTATGGCTAATTACCCTAGGAAATAAACCATTTCTGAATTTTCAAAGCACAAAATTGAGCTCCATGGGGCTGGTTTTCATTAATTGCAAATATCCTGCATTTTTGCAAGACTTCTGTGGGAGTTTGAAAATATAGCTGTTTATTAGTTTCACTCATTAAAGTTCCACTTACACACATATCCTAATGACATCATTAGTATACCATACTCCAAATAGCTCATACCAATTATGATAAATGACCATAACAAAAGAACTTCACAGCTTCACAATCTACAATATGAGATTCCTAAAACTACCACATCTTTAAGTCATCATGCCCACATAAGGATGTTTAAATATACTTCTATCAAAATTCAGCAAATTAACCAAACTACAGTGTTTGCCCCCTTCATCCATTCACAGGTATAAAGTACTTACCCCATGCTCCTTAGCTGCTGTGACAACTCTCAGGAGGACATCTTCCTCAACAAAAGGTCTTACAGCATCATGGATAACCACAACTTCTGGCTTAGTGAGTTCGGAGTCTGGCTGATGCTCTACCAGGGCTTTTAGTCCATTAAAAATTGACCTGTGGCGTGTCACTCCAGCCTCAGCTAGTGAGATGCGCTTGTGCCCATACTTGCGAATAATGCTTTCCATTGCTTCCATGTTCTCTCCCGTTACTGCAACAACAATGTCCTTTATCCAGGGTACTCTGCAAGGAAAGCATGTGTGCATTTCATGTAAGTGGACATTTAAACATTTAAAGCTCACAACAGAAATTCCATTACAGCACAAATGAGTATCATATATCTGAACAGAGAGGTTGAAAACTAAAAGCTCAGTTTTTATGCATTTTATTAGCTCCAGTAAAAAGGTTCATGAAAATGAATCAGTATGTATTTTACATGATAGATAGAGGTGGTTTTTATCGCTGTATATATTTTGCATGACATAGGATTTAAAGTGTGAAATATCATATTTTAGATATGTTAGATTTTTTTTACTTCAATTAAATGTAAACAACTAGAGTACCAGTAAATTGCCTGAGAAACTAGACAATAGGAATATAGTTTAAAATTTACATTTTTCCCAATACTTTCTCCCTCAATAGGATAAAAACAACTCAAAGCACTTTTCTATTCCAAAAGTGGGTTGTCTCAAGTTTGATGAGCTGGCAACCAGCCATTCAAATATTAAAACTGGGTAGCTGATCACACACAAACATTGGCCAGAGTGAATGTAGTCCACACTGTTGACTGGCTCTGGACTCAAAGACATGTAAGGGCTTTTGAACACCATCACTAGGCCATGAGTGTCCCTGGGGACTTGTGTGTTCCACGACCACATCCCAAATAGGACAGCTGCCTTGGACCCACAGTACCAGTTCTGAACAAAGATCACTTAAAACTTTTAATGTTTTATATGCCAACTAAAGATTAATTTTAAAATTAGAAAAAAATTATTGCCCTATGAAATCCTATGTATTTATGCTAGAATAAGTAAGTCCCCAAAATAGATGAAGTAACCAATAGCTTAAAAAAGTAGCCACTTAACATGCACTTTTCATTTTTAACTAATGTAGTCTTCATATAATATCTCTATAATGTCTCACATATTAGAGATAAGTATATATTTTTCAGTATAGAAATATTATCTTCCTATATCACAGTTTTATTCAAAAAAGGACAAGACTGAAAAAGATTCATTTTTCTCATTGACAATACAACATTTTTTTCCATCCTCTAAAGTGTAGGCTCCATGGCAGAATACACATGTCTGTCTTGTATACTGCCTTATGCCAAGCTCTCTGTAGGTACTCAATAAATGTTTATTGAATGAATAAATGGCTACTAGTGTAACTTCTTATAACATACTATAGAGACAATGATTATGCTCCCCTACATTTGTAGGTTGGTTTCATTGCTTCTCATCCTTGAGGTCCCCAATTACCTTTCCATTTTATCAGAAATTTCAAGATGACATCAATGACAAAAACAGTGCAATAAAATAGATTGCCTAGAACAATCTCTAGTCTTTACAAGCAATAAAAGACTCTGGAATAAGACTGTAAATTGTTCTTTGGTTTGTTTTCCAGCCCATTCCCCATGCCAACTACCTCAGACATGACAATTCTAGAACTTACACTATCCTAGCAGTGTCAAATCTATGCTGTTCCCAAAGATCATATCAACTGGCAAATGACAAGTCCTCTTCAGTGTGTTTTCTGGCTCCAGCTCTACTGCCACAGCTGTGACCCACAACTTTTTCTTGTAATGTCTTCTGTCTGATAACTTAACAAATGGGGTTCTTAACTGTCTCCTTCTCAGCTTACACCAACACAATCTGTTCTTGCCACTTCTGGATAAACCCTCTTAAGTACAAACCCTAGGGTATCCTATTAACTCAGTCACAGCCGTTGAAGACCTGACCTCAGCCCCTATCCAACCCTAGATTATCCTACTGGGAGCCCAGCCCTTAAAAGACTGACCTCAGCCCCTCAGCACAAAGTGAGCTTGAGGCTAGCCTAGAATAAACAAAAAAAAAAAAAAAAAAAAAAAAAAAAAAAAAAAAAAGAAACTCTCCTCTGCCACAACCCTCTTACTCTCATGCCTAAATGTTCCCTGAAGGGAGAGTGTGATTGTGTGGGTCTGAAAAGTTCCTCACAGGCTCATGTATTTGAATGTTTGGTCCCCAGCTGGTAGGGCTATTTTAGAATATTGTGGAACCTTCAGGGCAGGAGGCATGGGTAGCATTACTGACTGGGTCACTGGGGACAAGCCTTTGAAAGTTAAAGCCAAGGCAGCTTCCAGCGCAAGTTCTCTGCTTCCTAGTTAGGGTCATGTGAGAAACCACAACTGTAAGCTCCACCACCCTGAAGACCCACACCAGCTGCACCCACCCCATAACAGGCTGTATGTATCCCTTGCAACTGTGAGCCAAAATAAAGCTTTCCTCCCTTCAGTGGTTTTGATCACAGTTAATGAGAAAACTAAGATAGAGGCATCACATCCTCTTACATGCAGGTCTCTGTGCCATTCTCCCTGGTTCTCCATCCTGGCCTCACCCCTTTTTCTCCTCTCCCACTTACGCTTTCCAGCTCCAGGCATAGCCTGTTCCAGGAAACCTGTGACCACAAAGTTGAGTAACAGGCTGTATGTATCCCTTGCAACTGTGAGCCAAAATAAAGCTTTCCTCCCTTCAGTGGTTTTGATCACAGTTAATGAGAAAACTAAGATAGAGGCATCACATCCTCTTACATGCAGGTCTCTGTGCCATTCTCCCTGGTTCTCCATCCTGGCCTCACCCCTTTTTCTCCTCTCCCATTTACGCTTTCCAGCTCCAGGCATAGCCTGTTCCAGGAAACCTGTGGCCACAAAATTGAATGCATCCTCCCTTACCCTCTGATTCCAGAAACTTATCTCCCAAAGATTGTAGAGCATCATACTGTACTCTGCAACTTTCTATCTCCATTAGGCTACCAGCTCTCAGAAAGACAGTACCCCTAGAACCTGGCACATTCTTCACTTCTAATAACTTTAGTAATAGAAACTGCTGAAAAATATGGAATGTTTGCTAGCAGCCATGGCTGTGTTGAGAATTTTTCCTATAATATCTCAATGACCAGCTCTCTGAAGTAAATTGCTTTAGTCTACTTGAGGACACAGAAAAAATCAATCATGCAGGTATAAAATGCAGGAACCAGGCTGTAACCTCAATCTGACTTTGGAGCTCGCACCATTAACCTCTGCAAATGCACTAACACTGTCTCAGAGCAGGAACACACTGTGGAGGAGAGAAAACATTATTCTGAATTATTCTAAGATTTTTGTTGCTGTTGTTACTAGGATTGAACATTTAACATTGCTTATTTTACAGAAAAATAGTCAATTTCCTGTAATTTCTGATAACTCAAGCCAAAGGAAATTTTCCTTCATCCACATGTTCATTGAGCCATTCAATAAACATTAACTAAACATCCAGCATATACCGTATTCTACAGTAGGCACGTGAGACAATAATGAACAGGGGATGAGAGAATTCCCTAATCACAAACCATGTTAATAAATGTCTATTAAATGAATAAAGAGAACTTCTGAGTAGTTGGTCCAAAACTGCCTTTATAAGATATTATTAAAAGCAATCAAACATGTCAATTACTTAATGTGGCATCCTGTTACCTTCTTTTTAACAGAGAAGGTGTACCTAGATCAGCAGCAGGATTTTTCTGGAAGGTAAGAGATCAACTTACCCCCTAAGCTTTTTACCTTTGTTACTTTTCATTGTGTAGTACCCCAGAGAAATCAGTTAAGATAACATTTTAAGCTCATGTTGCTAGTTTTAATGAAAAATTATGTTCAAAAAATACAAAAGAATCAAAAAGAAAAATGAAGGGACGTCACCTGACATAATAGTCAAATATGTGTTTGATTATGTTATGCATAGCTCCTAATTTTACCATCTAGACTGTTTTCTATTTGGAACAAAGCAAAGGCAATGTAAATACAAACAAGTAAACTTGTGGCCTTAGATGATTTCTAGACAATTTTATTAGGTTTTAAATATAACGGGTTTGTTTTCATTTGGTTTTTAGAGATAGTATCTTATACAGGCTATCCTGAAACTCACTAGAGTAGCCAAAGCTGGTTTCAAACTCATGGCAGGCCTCTTAACTCAACCTCCTGAACGTTAAATTTTCAGATGTGAGCCACTAGGCTCAGCTTTAAAATATTTTGTACCACTATTTTTCAAATTCTGTATTTCAGGACCCACTTGTGCATCATGAAATATATATCTAGTATGTCAAAGCCAGCATTGTTGACTAAGTTAAATAGAAATTAGAGCAGAATGAATATCCTAAAATGGAGGAAGGTCCACAAACAATAAAAGTTTAGGAAAAAATACTTCATACTGCTCAAGAGGTAACAGGCTTATTATGCCATTTTGTTCAGCAAGGGAGGATACACCCAGGACCTGCAAGCAAGGCTTTATAAGTACTGTTTGTGTTTCAAAGGATTTATTCACATTCTTTTCAAGTTATAGAATTAAATTTTAATTCTGTAAAAGACTTTTAATAATATAAAATCATGAGACTGTAAAAGACCTTAAGTACCTCACACAGTGCCTACTGAACAAATATTTGCTGAATAGAAGCATCTAGCCTACCTCTGAGCTGAAAACAAGTCCACACCAAACCCTGCAGCCCAATTCTATCAAGTTTTCATGATTATTTCCTTCCTAGCACATTCCGTAGCAAATATAAACTTAGCCCCAAGCTCCATAACACCTACAGCCATTTTGAGGAGGAAATATAATATCTCAGAAGTTATTTTCTCCTGGAATAACCAATGTTACTTACAAGCATACTCTGCTCAGATAGTTTAATGGGATCAGTTGAAAACAGAACATTTAAACAAATGCTTATTTTAAAACATGGAGAAAATGAAGCCCTGTTAATACCTACAGAACACTCTCCTCCAGGGTACAGCTCAGTCTTAAAGGACAGTGGCAGCTGTTGCTCTCTAACATGACTGTCTTCATGGAAACTTGCCCTCAGAATTACACTGTAGCCACTGTCTACAGATTTCCTTCTCTCCGTGACCATCCTGATGTTTGGGGACAAAATATTGAGTTGGTATGGTGATGGGCTGGTTCCTAATACCTTAGCAATATCAAGTCTCCTTACTATGGCTCAAAAAGGCTTCCACAGTTATTAAGTCCCAGAGCTACTGGTTTTAGTCTTGTTTTTAAGGGCACGCAGAGGGGTCTCTAATCATATAACCTGTACAAAATACAACAGATCTATTCCTTCCCTTCACTTAAGACTCATTAATGAAGCCTTAAGTTAAAAACAAAGATACAATGAAAGCTATAAGTTGAAGTTTTCAATAATAACTAAACATGGACCTCTGTTGATTTACAAGCAATAAGATAAGAAGGAAGTTGAATCCCAATCACAAGATTGAGTTTCTGATATATATACACACACAGATCCACAGTACTGGTTTTTCTCCAATTCATGTGTTAGAGCAAGACTAATAATTCACTCTGACCAAACTACAGAGACTGAGCCTTCGACTGGAATGCCAATTTATTAATACACGGTGGCTTACAATTGAGAAGTCTGGGATGCTTCTTACCATTTGGTCTTCTTCCCATAGATTTATATTGGAGGCAAAATTATGATGTTTTGATAAGCATAAATCACATCAAGGAACAAGTTATCTTAAGCAGGGTCTTCCACTTAAGAAACCTCAAGGACTTTAGGAAAAGTGAGGTTGGAACTCTGGTAGATCTACTGACAGGAATTCCCACCCCACATCTATAAGCAGCGGGGAAGTTCACCTAATTCTTAATTTGTTCTTGTATCATCATGTCTTATTTTTTTAAGGCTATTCCACACTAAACAACCCTACTAAATAACATTTTCTTTCCTTATATATTTGAAACCAGAAATGAGATTACTGGCAAGAACTTTTAGTTCTATGTCCCCTAGCCACCAACTCCACTTTTTATGTCTTAAATTTTAAAAGAGAAAAAACAGAGCTTGACCCCTCTGTGACCCAGCCATCTGCAGGTTTCTCCCAGCAGACTCCAGTCTATGTCAAGTCCTTAAACATTCCCAGGTACAGAAAAGGCTGTTATCAGAAGAGGGAAGGAAACGGGCTCTGGCCCTGAACTGAATGAAGTTCATTAAACTGTCAAGTCTGTCCCATGATCACTCCATCCCCCCAGGCAGGACATAACTAGTGAGAACACTGCTTCTCCAGTCAGGAAGATGAGTGTTCTATCTGGTCCCCAAATACATGTTTGCACTTTGCTTCGGAGTTGTGCTACAGAGCACTTCTTCCTTTGGAATTTCAACCAGCCCCATCTCAAAAAGATTTGGGTTACTTGATTATGGAAATTCCCTGCAGCAACTTTTGAGGGTCCCATGTCAGTGGTAGTGAAAGAATAAAATACTTTCCTACTTCAGATCCAGGGAGCACATTTTTCTAAACAGCAAAACTTAGACACAAGTTAATCAACTGAACTTAACCATCTGTCAGAGCTTTATGCCCTTAACAATAATACCTTTGTCACATGATTTCCTGAGACCAAAATGCCTTGTAGAAACTGATGTCACAAAGCAATAGTTACATAAGGGACTAAGTCTCCTGATCTCAGTTTAATCAAATGAAAAAAGCAATCAAAGCTCCCTAAATCATAACCTGTTATAATTTATTCCAATTTCCCCAGTAGGTTATTAGGATTTCAGGCTGCTGTGATCAATTAAGCGAAAATGGAAAACAAGTGTTCTTTTGCTTTATTTTCCATAAACAAGGCCTTTCCAAACATTCTTTTACATTAAAAGATTTCATTTTTAGTGCCCACCTATCTCAGGCGGCCTCAGAACATGCAAAAATGCAAATTAATACAAAACGTTTCCCATGGGAAGAAATGTAAAATGGAAACATGTCTACAGTTCTCTCCATGCAATTACCAACCAGACAAAAATCCTCTACAACTGCCTGCATATGTGCACTGTGTTGCCAGAAAGTCTGTGGTGCTAGAGCTTTATAGGTGTGCGATTGATAAGATGGTCTGATGAACTTCTTCCCTACTATCCAGGGAAATGGAAGGCAGAAGGGTAGTAACTGGATTTTTATGTCTGCCTGAGTTTCACATGTAACCATTGGCCTGATTAGATTAATCAAGGATGATTATAGCCCTTTACACTTTCATTTTTCCTAATGACAATATTCAGAAATGAAATAGTCCTTATGAGAAATAACTTTGGTCCTTTGGCTTCTGACGTGTATTGGAGATGAGAGAGAGGGCTGCCTTTCTGGACAAAATGCCAAGGACAGAGGTTTTAATTTAAATGCTCCTCTAAATGCTATGAATACTAAAGGACAGCATCCATCCACCTTGAAATGTAACCTGTTCGCTCAAGGTTTAAGACATCACCCAAACTCTCCAATTGACTTGAAAGGAGCTTAAACACCTCGCAGAACTAGGAAACCTTTATAATCCTGCGGATTCCTACTCAGTCCCATTCCAGCCCCATCACAGCACACCACAAACATGCCCCTTGCATCTTTCCGGTCCTCCTGACACTGTTCTGTTTCTGGAACTGATTGATTTCAATCTCTTTCTAGGGGGTACTGGCTTCAATTTCACCCTCAAATCCCTTTCCTCGATTCAAATGCTGGGATTAAAAACTGCTCTTCTCTCTATATTCAGTATCAGGTATCTGGCCCACTCTGTCTCACAGAAGACGCTCCTAATGTGTGGGAGTGAAGGAAGTTACGTGCCTAGGAAACTGGAGGTGCGTCCAAGGCACTCCAACGCACGCATGCGCGGAAGCAGTGAGCGCCAGCCACTCCAAGAACAGCTTTGCATTCGGCCCCACCGGGGCCACAGAGAGAACCTAGTGTCCCTTAGTCCTAATGCCCTGCAGAGTCCAGCTTCCCGGCCAAGCCATGGGCTGGGAGCGTCCCGGCTCAGAGGGCGCCAGTTACCTCTCCAGGGCCTGCAGGGTGTAGCTGATGAGCGGCCTCTCCAGGACCGGGCAGAACTGCTTCGGGGTGGGGACGCCCATCCTCTCCCCGCAGCCCCCGGCCGGCAGCACGGCGGCCACGGCGAAAGGGCAGCTCCCGAGCTCGGCCACTGCAGCACCCAGGCGGGATACCGAGGTCGCGGGGCCTGAGGCGCGCGGGCCGCTCAGGCAACGCCCCGGCTCTGCCGGGCTGCAGCGCGGCCTGGGCTCCATGGGCGCGGTGGCGGGCGGTGCAGCCGGGAACCGAGTGCCCACACGGGCTCAGGCCCTGGGCGGCGATCGCAGATGGAGCAGCGGGGAACCAGCACAAGGAGAATCGCCCGGCAGCCCCGGCCTCTCCGCTTCAGGTCCCGGTGCGGATCTCGGAGGTCCACTCGAGCCTTCCTGTGTTGTCGGCCTGCTCCCGGACCCCGCGCACCCAGGCTGCTCCAGCTTCCTGCTCTTTCCGGTCTCCCTCCGGGCAGGCCCAGCTCGGGGCGCCGCAGGAGTCCGTACACACCTAGGGGTCGCAGACACTCAGCATGCAGGGACCTCTCCTCCCCACTGTAAGATAGGTAGGAAAGAGTTGGAGTCAGCAATACAGGACCCAGAACGTGTGCACACCTCGATTATCTACGTTTTACCCTCCAAAGCACTCTGATTACCCGAGAGTGGACAGGTAGATTGGCCAGTGATAGGACACATCAAAAATCCAAACTGTGAACCGGACGTGGTGGCGCACGCCTGTAGTCCCAGCACTTGGGAGGCAGAAGCAGGCGGATCTCTGTGAGTTCAAAAAGACCCAACTAGAACTCTTACAGAAGAATATTAATATTGTATAGTATCCTCTGGTTCTAGACTATAAGAACAAAAAAGTGCTTGCTGTGTACAGACATAATTTAAAAAAAAAAAAAAAAAAAAAAAAAAAAAAAAAAAAATCCAAACTACAAGGCTAGTTCCCAAACTTTTCTGTACTTTGGAACTACCCAGGCAGTGTATCTCTGAAGTTTGTATTCCACCTTCGAAATTCAGAATTTGATTGGTCTAGAATAGGCTTGGGCCATAGAATGTTTTTAAAGTTCCCCAGGAGATTGTAATAAGCAGGCTGAAATCAATACATGTCTCACTTTAGGGAAACCCTGCATCGCCATTTTTGTTTAGAGAGGAACAGAACGCTGAGTAACTTGTGTAAGACTGCCCAGCAAATGGCAAGGCAGCCTTAAACCCTTCTTTGTTCAGAAGTCCTACCAGAGTTGAGGCATTCCAGGCTTGACGAATACCTTGCCTTATTTAGTACTGTGTTTGCTGGAAGAGTTTACTGTGGAATATAATGGGGTATTTGGAGTGCCAGATCTCTATTGTATTCAGTCGCAGGAATGCAAAATTCATGAGAACAAGGCCTTGCTTTGCTTTTTCATTTGGATTGTATGCCTAGCTTCTGGAATGTAACAGAAGCTTCACATTTGTTGAATGAATTTCCGATTGAATAATGACAAAATACATAATTAATTACCCATTTCTATTATCAGTCTTCACCCGTCAATAGCTAAATTAGATTCGTAAAAAAAAATCACACATTAAAATTATCCAATTATAATATTAAATCTCATTATTTTTATCCAGTTTGCCAATTTAAAGCATACAAAAATAAAAATTTTCTGTTCCTATCCGCTTTTTGTCTATTATTAATAAAGCACTGTCCTGCTTTTGTTACTTTCATTATGACTAATGGAGAGCTCCTGTGGTGACCGAAGTTTGTGAAATTTAGATGACCCTTAAATGAAAAGAAAGTATGACTTATTTGTATTACAGTGTTTGAATAATTTCTTTCCAGGAAACAGAGAGAATGACTGACTGACTCCAAGAGAGCTCTTTGTAGGGAGTTAGGTAAATTTGAATGTGTTGTAACTTGCTCAAGTGAGACACTAAAGAACACATCACAACAAAACGTGAACTACGAGAAGGAATTTGTTACTTACACGTCCTTGAAAGAATAGGGGTGCCCAGGAAGCACATTGGCAAGTCCACTGACAGCACTCAGTCAGCAGGTGGAGAGCAACAAAGGCAGAGAGAGCCAGGAAACACTCCTTTAAAGTTCATAGCTTTGGGCCTTCTCAAAGTGGTTGTGTGCTGGTTAGGTTTTTTTTTTTTTAATAAACCTGAGCAAAGGGGACATTAGTGTTCCATGTCTGTGATGTAAATAGGTTTTAGCATGTTGGGGTATGGTTAGGGTTGGAGTTTGAGATGAGGAATAAGTGGGTTATATAGCAAAACACCCACAAGATAGGGAAGATTTACAAGAACATACAAGAGGATACAAGAAAAGAAACCCTTGTATGCTGATTGTGGGAATGTAAATGAGAACAGCCAGTAGGGGAATTGGTATGAGGTTCCTCAAAAACCTACAAAGCAAACTACCCTGTGACTGAGCTGAACTACACTGCTCTTGACTATATACCCTAAAGAAATGAAGTCAGAATACAACAGAGATGTATGCACGCCCATGAAGATATGGAACCAGCCAGGCAGAGATGAGTATCATATGTTTTCTCTCATATGTGGGGAAAAGAGACCTGAAAATTGAAGGAGGACTAAGAGGGAAGGGATCTATGGGGAGGAAGGGAGGAGGAGATGGTAGAGAGGGTAAATATGATTCAGCACAATATTTGCATTGATGAAAATGTCATAGAAACCTATTTGTTTTTTATTAGGATAGTTTGTTTTATCAATTGCTATAGAATCATTTTCTGTAATCAAATCCTGAGAAATTATAGTCTTTCTTAGACCATCAGTTTAGAATTTTTCTTAGAGAAAATACATTCATTTTAGCCTGTTCAGTAAGAATTCTTAGATCTTATAAGCTGCATAAGAACAAAATCTAACAGATCAACTGGTAGTGAATAGAAGGACAAATTATTTATACATATACATATGTGAGAGAAGCAGTGTTTCTTGCATATATATGGACATATTAACAATATTTCCATTTAAGCATACTGTGAGTAATAGATGCAATTTCCTTTTATTTTGTACCAACTTATAGCAACCATCTTACATAAATATCAAGGATCTGGGGCTATTGCTTGGGGCTAAGAGCACTTGCTGTGTGACATAGGTCCTCAGCGCCAACCCCCAGCACCCACGTAAAATATCTAGGCATGGCTACATGTGCCCTATAGTTACAGAACTAAATATAAAGAGTAGAGAAAATAGTGAAAACTGCATGACAGAAGCACCAAATCACATCTAAAGGCAAACCCATTAGAATCACAGCAGCTTTCTCAACAAAACCTCTAAAATCCAGGAAAGTATGAATGACCTATTCCAAGCACTTAGAGATAATAATTGCCAACCCAGATTACTATACCCAGCAATCCAGCAAAGCTATCTGTCATCATTTATGGAGAAAAAAATGTTTCCACAATAATAGCAAACTAAAGGAATTTCATGGCCCCCAAACCAGCACTACAGAGGATACTTGAAAGAGAGCTAGGGAGATAGTGCAGCTATCTAACCCCTGTGGGGGTGGGCAGCAAAGGGAGGGAACAGGTGGGTCCCTAGAGCTCCCTGGCCAACTACTCAAGTAAGCCAAGTAAATGAGCTCCAGATTCAGTGAGAAACCTTGATTCAAAAATAAGGCAGAGAAAATTCTTCAGCTTAGTTTGTTAGGCCCTCCACCTTGCCCCTCTGCCTCCTGATCTGCCTGCCACAGACCTTCTTACCACCCTGGTAAGTCAGATCCTGCCCACTGTGCTTGATTCACCAGCACCTTGAGAAGCTTCACTCTTCTCTCTGCACTCTGTCCCCCTTCTAGCCTTGGACCTAGGCTGGCTTCTGCTATTCTGCCTCAGATCTCTGGGTGAGCTTCCCAACCCAGACCTGCCCACTACAACCTGATCCCCTGCCCCCAGACTAGCTCAATTCTCCAGGTTAGTTTGTTAGACCCTCCAAAGGCTGTTCCCACCCCCACCTTGCCCTTGGCCCCTCTCCTGATCCACCTGTCACAGACCTTCCTGCTACCCAGACATGTTTACTCTACACCATTCATCAAAGAATCTTCTTTTGCAACAGTTCCACAACTGGTCACACACATAATATATGTCTGAGAGATGCCCAGCCCTAAGTGACACTTTTACAGCAGAGCCTCTACACCTGAAGCTCATTGATTGTAGCAGAACAGGAGGTTGAGAGAATACTAACAGATCTCTCAACTCTCACCAGAGAAGATTCCTCATACAAAAGGGTGTGATGCACACAGAAGGTCACAACGGGCCAAGTTTTAGAAAATAAGAAACTGCAGAGTGCATGTCCCTAGATAGGATTCCTATATTAAACTTCACCCACACACAACTCAGGGACTAGTGCAGAAGAGGGTGAAGAAAGGTTGTAAGAGCCAGGGTTGGTGCATGAACATAAGGGAGCAGAGGCTTTCAGGCCTCTGGGAACTTGCTCATATAACTTGTAACAAGGGTGACAGCATGCACAAGACCATGCTAACTCAGTCAGACAAAAACCCAACATAGAAGTGGGGAAATGGGCAGCAGGACCCAACTTTAGCCAAGGAACCATTGGCAACTGATTATTGAAATGTCAGGGAGAGTAGATAGGCTGAGTAGACTCCACTGATGAACTTGAACCAAGGGACATCTGGGTACAAATGCTTGACCAGATAGGCCTTAACATATGTGAAAGAATGCATGAAATCTAGCGTGGAGGCTAACGGGAGTTGTAGATGGGGGATTAAGGTCTATTATATGAAATGCCAAAAACTAAATTAAAAAAATATACATTTAAAAAATAAGGCAGAGAGTGACTGGGGAAGATCCTTGATGTCAAATTCTGGCTTCTACATGTGCATAAACACATGAACACATATACAAATATACACACACCAAAAAAATGATACTTGAAGGAATCATTTGGACTAAGGAGAATATAAACACATTCATGAGACTACAGGAAAGAATAAATACTAGAAGAATAGTTAAAGAAACAAAACCAACAAAATGATAGGAATCAGCACACTTTTCAATAATGGCTTTGAATATTAATGGACCAAAAGACACAAGCTAACAGCCTAGAGTGGAAAGCATGATCTCTAATTATTTGCTCAAAGACATATACCTCCCCCTCAAAGACAAATGCAACTTTAGGGTAAAAGGATAGAAAAAAGTATTCCAAGCAAATAAAACTAAAAAATAAGCATGGGTGGCAATTAGAGACAACAGGCTTGAAGCCAAAACTAGTCTGAAGAAAGAAACGTGGCTTCATACTAAGAGGACATTGTCATTCTAAACATATATGCACTGAGCACCAATTCACTCAATTTCTTAAGGCAGACACTATTGGATATAGAGACACAGATTCACCTTACCACAATAACAGTGGGTAACTTCAATACCCAACTCTTACCAATAGATAGGTCATCCCAAGGAAAAGCAAACAGAAAAGCATCTGAGTGAAATGACAACATATTTCAAAAGTACTTGCAGACATCTCTAGATTATTCTATCCTGATACCACAGAAGACACATTCTTCTCAGCAGCCCATGGAATTTCCTCTAAAATAGATCTCTTCTTTTCAATATATATTTTACTGAATTTTTATGCATTGGCATGCCATACAAAAACATATCATTTATTAGGACACAAAGAAAGTCTCAACAAATTCAAGAGAATTAAAGTAATTTCTTGTATTCTATTTGGCCACAAAAGGATAAAATTAGAAATTTACAGCAAGAGGAAACGGACTATGCAGAATCTCACGGAATTAACCAATACCTATTGAATGAAAAT